AAATTTGTTGTTCACTGCGATTATTCTATTTTTTCTTCACTAGTGGTTCTTTGGTATATGTGAATGATAGAGGGGCTCGTGTAAATTAGCACTTTGATTGATCGAATCACTATGAATCCGATTGAATCGCTTCGACTGTGGTCTGATTGACTGAATTTTAGCACTTTTTTTGTTTTTTAGGTGGACCAGCCACAGTCGCTGGGTGCTCGACGGCCACCATTCGCAGGAGGTGCCATTGGAGGTGGTCAACAAACAGACAGGACACAGCTGTCACGTAGCATGCTTGGACGTGGAGCTGGCCGTGGTTCATTAGCTTCCCGAGATAATTCACAGCCTTCGAGCCGTGAGCCGTCCGAATCCAGGAAGCAATCCAGGGATGAAGAGCGCAGTGCAGTAAGTTTAGGACCACTCTCAGGTGGTTACAACATAGCATGTTAGTGATAAAGTACGGGCTGTAAAGGCCCTACGGACAAAAGGAAAAGGCTAACAAGCTGAAGGACAGGAACAACGGCCATTCAGTGAAGGGTAAAGACCAGCAAGGGCAGTACCACCAGTCCTACAAAGTGACTATGAATAGCACGTCCGTAGGACGGCGGCCATCAGAAATGCGATAACCAGTAAGTTTGTAAAAAAGGAAAAGAAAACTAAAGTAAGGTCAAGATGTTGTTTAAAGATTTTCAGAATGAGCCGATCTACAACTAAAATTTGAGTCCGCCTCTGAAAAGGTTGTGATTGAATAAGTGAGAGTTGGCAGTTAGGGTGCGCAGCATTGCTGCACGAGAGAGGGGAAGAGCGGGGCTTATAGTTATAAGCTCGATTCGTAGTATTTCGTCATTTCTTTGTCATGACGAGAATTCCAACTGCCATTTATAAATTGTTTTTTTTTAAAATTTTTCCGTAATTTGTGAACTTTTCCATCTTAAATTTATAATAGGAGGTATTTTGAAGTTAAAAGAATAGAAATTAATAAAAATTCTATATAAGTAAAAGGCAGTGGGGGAGTTGGGAAATGGAAGGGGGTAGTAATCACGGCCAAGAACAACGGTCCATTCAGCGCAGGTTATCGACCGGCAAGGGTCGCATCAACCCTACATGCAGTAGGAACAACGAGAGGTAGGACGGTGGCCGTTCAGAATCCAATGAGAAAGGAAAATAACTTTGTTTTAGGCTCTCGCAGCAGCATCGGTAATAACACACGGTGCAAGTGGTAGCGGCCTATTGAGGCGCGGTGGTGGCGGCTATGCTGGAACGCTTGCTGGTGGTTCGACAACACCACCACTGCCAGCTGCAGAGATGCACAAAAAAGAGGAAAACGAAGGTGATGCTCGTGAAAGTGGCACCGCTGGAGAAGGTGCTGCTAGCATGGAAGGCAGCGCTGGCAAAGAAGATGATGCTGCGGTAAGCAAAGAGAAGAAAGAATTGGAGGAGAAGAAAATGCTTGGTATAATGGTGGATGAAGTTCACGAATATTTCGCTCGAGAAGCAAATATTGAGAAGGTACGCTTTTGCACCAGCACTTGTAATTACTCTCTCCTTGTGTCTCCAGTTTTATGCCTGCAGAGCTGTATCTGGGCACTCACCAACCAACACTCTCCAACTCCTCCAGTCACGTGATTCAGCCACCCGAGCGCTCGTTGGCAAAGTGCCAAACGATGCCGGCAAGCGACACCGCGAAATAGCGTTAGCAGAGAAGCTAGAGCGTTTCATAGTGGTGGCCGAGCCGAGTAATTGTCTTTCCACGCTGCTCCCCCCATACGTACATGCTAGTAGATCGGTCCTTCCGTTCGTTCTTTTAACACTTGTTGGGTGTTCAGTCGGGACTTCAAATTACTTCGGGATAGCTAGTTCCCGAACAAAAATAAACGAATGGGAACCAAATTTTCCTTTTGGTTTCCTGGAGCGCAGATTTTCGTTTTCGTTGTAGCAACCAGGTTGATCCTGGAAGCATAAATGGCGAAAGAGCGATAGAATACAACATGAAAGAAAAAATTTCAGTCCTGTAGGTCACATACGTCTTAACTCAACACCGCGACAAGACCTCGTATGATTGTGGGATTAGAGAGAGAGTGAGTGTAGGGCGAACAGGGGAAGGAAGGAGGAAAGAAAGATTTTAAAAAAGAGACAATTCCCAGAACGTTCCCACATTCTTCACCCATAATCAATATCGTGAGGATAGTAACAGGCCCTTTATGCTAGGGACAATATGATAGTCTTTATGCGTGGTATTGTTTGCTTGTTTTTGACTTAACGAATTTTTTTAGCTGCAACCCACGCTGTTCTCCTCCTTTAACTCGAGCTCTATTCCCATTTTCAGCAGTCATTCTTCATCCATTTTTCATTTTCTCTTCAGCTGTATCAAGCTATACTGGAAATATTATCGGACGAAGGAAAACAGAAACCGAATAGCGAACGTATTCGACAAGTTTTCCGTTTGTTGGTAAAAGTTGGAGTTGAAAGAACACACGCAGATGTTAGGAATCCGGAACGGCAATATGTTGGTCAAGTGCTGTGCCGGTGCCTCCAGCGTAACGATATTAAAGAACATGCTCTCAGAGGGTTAGTTTTTCGTTCTTAATTTGCCAAATTAATGCTTATTTTTTCATAAAAACCCGAAAAAAAAATTTTTTTTATGAGTAATGATTTTTTGCTTGGTTTACTAAGAGAATTGGTTAAATCCTAAGTGAAGTGGTTCAAGTGGAATCAGTCCCCCAGATCGCCGGATTTGGATGATATTTTTTTAAAATTTGGATTAACTTTTTGCAGCGTAGCAGACTACTGTACCGATGTGGTCGAAACGGAGCTATGGGAGGATTATTGTCGAATATGGGAATATATTGCGGAAGTAATAAGCTGGTCGATTATGTGTGAAGTGCGGCATTTCGAAGGTCCAAGGCCTTCACTGGGTGATTTTAAGGCTGCATTCAGAAGCGCAGATGCCGATATACGGGATCCGAGCCCTCTCCTAGTTCATGTACTCAAACGACTTGTAAGTGGTTTTTTTTTGCTTCTTTCAGCTGAATTATTCAGGTGGACTTGTGACGTTATTCCTCGTCAGAGCGCTGTAACAGGCGGCAAAAACTCATATTGCGACGACCCTGCCTGAAGTGTGTGTTCTTCTGTGCAGAGATGTTTGTATTCAGCGGCAACGCAAGCTTTGAAGCTGAAATTTTGCCAGTGTGTTCCCTGACCAGGTGCAACCTCAGGGGCGTGATATCAAATGTCACGCGCGTCTACATCCCACGTGCGGACACGTGAAAGTTTTGGCAGGAAAATTGCTAACTCGGGAGCGAGAAAAGCTGACAGATTTGAGGGCATCCACGAAGACAAAACAGGAAACACGATTTCACAGCAGCTTCTTTGATTTTTTTTGTTTTTAAGTTGCTGCTAATACTGAATCGTGTTGGCACGTACATACGCACATTATAGTAATAAACAGTACTATGGTGGTTTTTCTCAGGCACATGTACAGTTTAGGGATGAAACACAGACAGGACAACAGCTAATGCACATACAGACTGGCTTATCTGGGTATCTGAATTTGCACTCACTGCTTTCGCACAACTGACAATATTCGACTGCGTCCCTTTCATCGGCTGGCCTACAGTGCCAAACAGACTTTCATAGTTTAAACTTTCCAAAAAAATTCCCAAAACGCTTTATATGTGTGC